TGGCAATAGGCTTGATTGGGTGTGATATGCAGAAGGGTAGCAGCAGGCATGGAGATATCATCACTGGTAATGAGACAGGAAACCTAGGTCTCAGTTTTGGTCCAGGAGGATTCAGTCCATGAAGATGCAAAGAATGAATGGACATAAGTCTGAAGAAATGAGCAGTGGCTCACTAAAGCTCATAAAAAGGTCAAGGTTTCCCTTGCTTGAAAGCCAGTCGAATTCGACTCTAGGGGGCGGTGCTCATCTCCGTTTCCAAGCCAAAGAGCCAGCGCTGTCGGAAGACTTTTCCATGGCCATGTGGCCAACATGACTAAAAGCCAAGGCGCATGGAACACTGCTGCCTTTCCACCGAAGTGGTAATTATTTATGTACTTGCAGTTTCTTGCTTTCAAACTGCTAGGTTGGCAGGAGCTGGGGCCAGAGACAGGTGCTCATTCTGTCAGACGGCACTAGGGTCTTGAACAGTCAAACTACCGACCTTCCAGCCTGCAGTTCAGCGTCTTAACCTCTGAGCCACCATGGCCCTACTAAAGCTCATACCTTGTCACAAATTTTGCTACTGGACTGTTACTCTTTCAACAGCTATAAGAAACCAGAACATTCAAAAACCAGTGGGGTTTTAACCTTCCAGGGCATTCAGGTTGCTGACCTAAGAGTAGTAGTTCTCTTACAAAGGAATTTTAAAGAGAAATTAGAAAGAGAGACTGATGAATTGCAACTGATAATGAAGCTCAATGCATTCTCCTGGGCTGAATTGAGACCTAGGTTTCTTCTCTCATTACCAATGGCTGCTATTGTTATTTGGCATCTGAGATCACTCTCCAAGATATAAGGACAGATGGACTCACGTTCCGGCTGTATCTGAAGAAGTGAGCAGTGACTCCTGAAAGCTCATGCCCTGCAATAAATTTTGTTAGTCTTTAAGGTGCTACTGGGCTCTTGCTCCCTTCCACTAATAAAGATTGCAAGCTGTGCTGTTAGGTTTCTTTTATTATTATTTTTTCATCTGTTAGAACTGGAAAGGGGATTGCTCCAAGTGAAATAATGTGTTGCTTTCAAAATCCACGCACTGCTAGTGATGATAATAAAAAAGTTTAGAGGGGGGGGGGTTAATGTGAACAAAGACAGCCAGTGAGGTGGGATGGGAGAGATGGAGACCATGTGTTGAACTGGAATATATGGAACTATAAATGTATTTTTAAGTACTTAGCCATCTACTTCCATGGAATCCAATCCAAGTGTTGTAATTCCTAACCAGGGTCTCTTTTAAAGAAAATCCCAGATAGGCAAAGAGAAACCCAATCTTTTCTTTTAAAAAAACAACACAAAAACTTTTCAGAATAAGCCAAAACAATTTCCCATTACTTCCCATTATTCCAGATGCACCTCTTTTCTGCCCCCCTTCCTTTTCTAACGTGTGTGTGTGTGAGAAAGAGAGAGAGTGGTATATTCAATGTGACCAATGTCTGTATGAAAACGCAGTGATTGAAACACCATGTGAAGCTTCGTCCTGGGCTAGGATCCTAATCCCTCAATTACTATTGGTAGCCCAGGAAGAGCCGACCAATCACCAACATCCAGTTGAATGAGAGGGAACAATTGTGATTGTACCTTATTCGTGCAACCTCATAGGTTGTTATTGTAAAATAGGGCGTGGCTACATTAGCCGGGAGAGTTTAAAAGTTGATCTGTTTGGAGTTGAGTTACGAGTTGCTGAATAAAGCTGATTTTTTGCTGAATCACTCTCTGACTCATTTGTTAAGTAGCCGACTTAACAGAGAGAGAGAGAGAGAGAGAGAGAGAGAGAGAGAGATCAGGTCTCACACTAAACAGCAGAGCAGGCTTGTCAGAAGAATCTCACTCTATCTCTCACTGCCCCTCCCCCTCTCAGTATGCATACACAGGAAAGCTTATATCTGGAATAAAACTTTGTTGGTCTTGAAGGTGCCATGGGACTCCCTCTCCAAATGAGGGAAGAGAGGCTAGGCAATGCAGCAGCAGCCCCAGGAGAGGAAGCAGGAGGAAGCTTTTCTTTGCTGCGCACACGTGCGCTCTCTTTTTCCTACCCGCTTGCTTCCTTAAGGAGGAAGAGAGGGCTTTGGAGATGCAGCAGCAGTAATGAATGGGAAATTCAAGCACTTCCTCATGGACTGTATACCAGCCCTGCAGGGGCCAGATATGGCCCACAGGCCGCATGATTGACACCCTTGGTATAGGCCATCCCTAAGACCATGCAGCCAAATATCCATCCCCAGTGAGATAGGTCGACCCTGTTAGGCTGAAACAGACCCTGTTAGGCTGCCAGTCGATGCAAAATGTCCAGATGGTGGACCCTATGGCCCCCATGACCTTCACACGCTTGCCCAACGTATTGGTCATCTTTCTCCTTCCCACATAGATCCGCTCTAGGCAGAGGGCCCCATACCAAGAGCATCGCTCTAGCCAATCAGACCAGAATATGGTCACTGCTGGGAGCTCCTCCCTCAACATCTGCAGGTCCATCTTGGCCCAGTACGCCGTCAATGCCTGTGTGAGCCCCCAAGTCATTTGTACCAAGTTGTATCACTAGTGCACTGGGATGCTGGTGATGACACAAGCAGTGCCATACTGTGGTTAGAAGGGTGTCCCATGTCATACCTCGCTCACTGATCCAAGTAACTCGCACCGTATCGTGCAGGTCAAGGTCCCCGCCCAGCCCCACAAGGCCGCATCGATGTTTGTCTAATACACAAGACTGTGCCAAAAGATCCAAATGGACTTCGCTGGTCGCCTGAAACTGAATGAGTCAATGTTAAGCACCAGGAGTCAGCTGTTGACAAATGTTTGTCTGGTACACCTCAGATTGCCATTTCCCAGTGGCCTGGATACTATAATAGAGCAGCTGCAGAGATAGTGAGTGAGAGCCAGCAGATGCTGAGAAAATACAAGATTAATTCTGAGTAGGAGACGTAGAGCATGGGCTCCAAGTATAAAGTGACCTGATGAAGCATTGAGGGAAACAGATTGTTTACCCAGGAAATCTGTAGTTGCATGGCAATTGTTGGAAGCAGCAGCAGCACTGCATGACGTAAAATAAAGAAACAAAAGAAGAAGAAGCAAGTTCGTGGACTGTAATTGGACTAGAATCATTTTTGCACAGTGAACATTGGTGGGGTACGACCTCCAGGTGGTGGCTGCTATTACATCTGAACTCTGGGCGACAGAGATCGGTTCACCTGGAGAAAACGGCCACTTTGGAAGGTGGACTCTATGACATTAAGTCCCTCTTCAGGCTCCACCCCCAATACATCCAGGTATTTCCCAACCCAGAGCTGGTGACCCTAGGTATAATGCCATAGAGGCCACCCTCCAAAGCAGCCATTTCCTTCAGGGGAATTGATTTCTGTCATATGGAGAAGAACTGCTGTAATTCCAGGATACCTCCAGGCCTCACCTGGAGGATGGCAAGCCTATGGGCTGGTCATTTTGGTTTGGGAGGTTTTTTGCTTGTGCATCGTTTTACAAAACACCATGGTAGTTCTGGTTTCCTCCCCATATCTGGGTTTCACAGCTGAAAAAAATAGTGACATTTTAAAAAATAAAATTGGGCCGCAAAACAAGAAACCCCCACCCCCAAACAAAAAGAACATTTTAAAAGTAAGTTCACCACAATCATGCTGGGCAAAAAAAAAAAAAAAAAATCTGCCTTGTGATCCTTCTAATTAAATATGGACTGTTCCAGAGAAGCACTTTCTACTAGGCAACCAATTGTGTCATGATCACGGGCTGCTCTGATTGGCTGCCTTCCCATGCTCAAGCAGTAGTGAGCTCATTTAGTACATGGTTGCAAGCCTGTTCCCTGGTCATTCCAGGGAGAAAGCACATTCCAGCTGGCTACTGTCCAATGATGCGGCCAGGTGGTATTCCCCCTGAAACAGCGTTCTTCCTGGACAGGAGGAGTGTAACTTCCCAATGGCCCTTTGACTTCCAGCCAGTGGCAGGGGCCACAGTGTCTTTCTCCATGCTTCTGCAGACCCTTGATATTCCCCCACCTGCCTCAGGACTGTCTTGTGTCAATGCAGAGAGACTGAATGAGCTTCACCCACACCGCTCCCTGAGTTGTCCAGCCTGGGAAGCAGTGAACCACAATAGGTCCTTGGAGGGATTCCTTATAGACTCTCTCATACCATGAAGACCCAAACAAAATGCCATATGAAAAAAAGCGCGATTTGCCTGGGTCCATGCACCCAGATGACTATGTCCCAAGAATGCTTGACCCCTAACTCTCTACTTCCCCACAGCCCCGACATCACAATCGGAAGCCCCCAGCATGAATGGTACCACGCTGAGTGGGCTGAATGAGACCATGCTGCCCACCAAACCGGCAGCCCCTTGCATGTGGGTGTGCCTTCAGAGAACAGATGTGAGTTTTGGTCTCGCAGTATTACCATGGAGCCTCTGAATGACACACCCTGAAGCCGGATTTCCAGGCATTCCAACGAGCCAGAGTTCATGGACAACCTACCCAGATCCCCGAGTGCTCCTTTCTATGAATGATCAACATTCTCTGCATTGTGGCAGAGGAAGGTGGGGTCGGATAATGACTCATGAGGGCAACACCACCCTCGGTACCCAAGCAGTTGTTTGCCTGCTCATGTGCACTGTTACCACATTGGTGACTGCACTTTGTTTTATATGGTTGGCAACCAGACCTCAAGTTTTCCTAAACAGACCTGGCCTGTGTGTCTTCCCTGTCTCTTGCATTACTCACTGGGCTGGAGGTTGCTCTTTCGGCTGCCGGCTACCCCCTCCCCTCCACTGCTTACTCCAGTCCTTGCCTTGAGTCACTGGAAAGAGACTTTGCAATTGCTGGTTCCCGCCCAGCAACTCCTGGCTGGCTGCCAAGAAAGCAGGGCGTAGTGTATTCATTCTTTTCTCTCTCTTTTTTTTCTTGAAAGCCAGACTGATTCATAGAAACTGTTTTAAAACACAGTCAAAAGACACCACCCCGTTGCACATCCCAATACACCAGCAGGGGAAACTTATAACCCCGCCAGCCTGGACACTCCCTTCACTGCAGTTTTGGGCTTCAAGGCAACAGGCGTGCAAGACTGCCGGCTCCCTCCACACCAGACCCTTCTCCCTCCAGGTAAGCTTGTTTTCCACATACCTTTCTGCAGTGCTTGAGATATTTGCAAGCTTCTCTTCTTTTCTGGCCCCCAGAAACTCTTGCTTTTCTTTCCTCGGAATCCATGCTTGGAAGTCTCAGAGTGTTTCATCCCTAACAGTAGAGCCCTAAACAAACTTACACCCTTCTAAGCACATTGACTTCAATGGACTTAAAAGAGTGTAAGTCTGCTTTGGATTGCACCACAAGGCACTCACCCCTTTGGAATTTACTCTGCTTAGAAAGTCCAGCTGCCTTCCCTGCAGGAACCTTTCCCCAGGCCAGGCAGATGAGCCCAGGCACTGCAGGGACGCCTTGCCAGAGACAGTCACAACCTGGGTGCTGAGAGAGCAGCAAAAGCAGAAGCCCCTTGTGTGTGTGCAGATCTGAGAGGAGGGTTGGCACATTCCTTGAACAGGACATTTGCAAACTCGACTGGCAGGCAATGTCCTCGTCTCCAGGGGAATTGCAAGTAAAGGCAGTGCTGGTATTTTACCACTCTGGGAAGAACAGGTTACAGCAGACCTGGGCTGAGCTCCCTCCCGAGCCCCACAGCGGAGAGAATTTCATTCAACTTGGAGAGACTCCTTATCTCCCCACTCACAAGACACCCAAGGCACCCTGAGGTTGAACAAATTAAGGAGAAAAGGAGGTGGTGCTGACAAAGAAGAATAGAATTATGCATGCTGAAGGCAGTTCTGTGGAGGAAAACTAGTTCAGGGGATGATTCCCCAGTCTGGCACACTCTCTCGTCCTCACCCGGCTCTCAGCAAGTCCTCTGATTTGTTTCTTCTGATTAGCCATTAATAGATGAACCGTGTGCTTGTTTTGTTGAAACCATTAATTAATGAATGGGTACAATTATTTTATTATTTGAATGTGGCTCGTACCATGGGCCAGTGGTGTTCAGGAATGCAGAGGACATTATTATCTGAGGCATTGTGTGTACCCCACGATGCTCATGCTAAATACTACCTCTACAGTGTTCTATTTTAATTGATGAATACTATCAATTGACTGGAAGTTATCTAGATCTAGAAATCTAGACTCAGCTGATAGCCCTCCTGAGATCTTCCAAGTGGGTTTGGCTCTGCCTGAATTGCTGCCCTTCCTTTGCACCTCAGACGCAGCCACATTCCAGTGGTGGATGAAACCAGAGAGCATTTTTAAGATGATTGCAGCCCAGTCTTATCCATGATTACTCAAAAGTTACTCCCACTGTGTTTATTGGGGCTTGCTCCTGGCTCAGTGTGCATAGGATTGGGGCTATAGAGATCCTCACACACACACACAAAAACCCCTTGTTAGTGAGAGCACTGTTGCTCTTGAGAGACTTTTTAAAAACGCATTTGATCAGAAGAGGGGTGGAGAGATGTTATTTGACTACACTTGCAATCTTCTTGAAGGAGTGCAGCTTTACCTAGATGTGGTCCATTCCAACACATTAGAGAAAGATGGAAGGGGGGAAAAACCAACCCGAAAATCAAGTCAGGAACAAATAAGTTGAGCAACTAGAGAATAAAATAAAATAAAATAGAACTTTTTATTACACATTGCACAGGATTTTAGGATTAAAAACAACATATATAGGGTACCATTAAAAACTCAGGTTGCAGTATACGGTAACAAGATAGAGTTGCACATCCAATAACAGAGAATCACAATAATGATTACACGTGTATATTAATCAGAGGACCCAATGAGTTTTGGCCCTGAGAGCCTTCTTCAGTGGTCAAAATTATACTAACACACACCTAAAACTATAATCTTTTTCAGGCCAGGCAGTTTGTATATGAGCTACTAAAAAAGTGAAGCTCCAAATAATGGTTATAAATCAATTCTGCATAGACTGAGGAGCCCTCACTCATCAGAGATGGTAACAAAGTACTACCATTCTAGTTAAATCCCCAGTGTGGGTTCATGTGCAAACCAGAGACCAAATCTCTTTGGTTAATATAGGCCCCGGTCACACGGGCCAGATATCATGGGGGGGGGAGGCGTGGCTAATTGCCCCGGTGCAGTTTGATCCGCGATTACACGATCAGACGCACCAGCGGCACACCACAGGTCCTTCCCTCAGCAACGGTGGGTAAACGAGGGACTGGAGGGGAATGCCACACACCGGATCAATCACACCATGGGAGTCTGGAGGCAGCCCATGGCAAACGTTTACTAGTACTTTGGAGGTACTACTTTCTTAACGTGCATTTTCGGCAGTAAGCCACGGGTGCGCTCCACTTCCCAGATGTGGGGTGTGATCGCGCCCGGATAATCCGCCCACCATCCGTGCCTCTCCCGCGGCAACTTTGCCGTGTGACCGGGGCCATACATGTGTAACTACTATTGTGATTCTCTGTTATTGGACATGGAACTCCATCTTGTTGCTCTATACTACAATCTGAGTTTTTAATGGCACCCTATATATGTTGTTTTTAATCCTAAAATTCTGCGCACGGTGTAATATAGTTGTATTTTATTTTACCTTTCCAACATGTTTTCTTTAAGAGGAAGGCACTATCTGTGCACATGCAGTAAAGGGAATAACTTTGGTTGAAGGAACAGTTCAGTTTGCCCCTGGTGTAAATAAATCAGCCATTTTAAGGATTTTCTTCAGCAGTCTCAGCCAAGTATTCCATATCATCTAGTTTTGTCTCTGGATTCCACCCTTGCTCTTAGTGAAGATGTTCAGTCTATAAAATGGGTAAGCTCCAGAACAACAGGATCTTGCTGCTAGACAATATGGCAGAGCAGAGTTATGTAGCTAAGCAGACAGTTGTTTGGATTTCCAGAACCAGGGTCCTCAGTATCCTATCAATATCAGTAGTATGTGTTTCTTGATAAGATCAATGTTACATTATATAGAGCACTGAGACTTCAACTACCATTATGCTCAACATGATAGGGGTTTTGAGATTTTTAAACACAGGGGTGCAATCCAGATTGTTTTCATATGCGTTTGATCCTCTGTTGAACATGCACACTAATGCATACTAGAAAGAGTCATTGTTAAAGTGAAGAAACTCCATAGCCAATGTAAGTTGAGTGTTTGCATTATAGACTTGGGAAATGCAAAAGGCCCATCTGGAGGGCTCACCATTAGGTTCAAGCCTCCCCTCCTAATTTAGAAGTGGTCCTAAGAGCCAGTCCCATTGAGAAGACCCGCAGAGAAGTAAACAAGGCTCATCTATGAGAGTTTTGTGTCCTCCAGACTCACCCCACCCATGCTTCCCACCTATTGGCTAAAGCATAACTGATGAAGTTCATGAATGGTCAGAACTCATGAGCAGGGAAGCTGTGTCCAAAAATCTGTTCACATTGCAGCTCTGCACTGGGCACATAGGGAATCCAAGACGATTGGGTGGTGCATGACATGTGAAATGCCATGTGACAGGGAGCATGACAAAGACTGTATGGTTCTGCCAACAGCCATTCTCAGATGTTTCAGTTGACTCAGACTATGGTGTGTAGAAATAGGGCTGAAAAGATGCAACTTGCTCAAGAAATATCACATGGCCTCGCCTACTGCTGCTTCCCATGGGGCTGTTCTGTGATCAAGGTGCAAATAAGACTGTCAAGGACACAAGTCAAGGACACAAGAAGGAGCCCTGCTGGATCAGACAACGTCCAAATAGTTTATAAGACTAATTTGTATTTATATTTTTGTCATTGCAAAGCCTAAGGATGGAATTAAGCCCTAACATCAGCCTTGAAGTGTGCATCAGAGTAAACTTGAAGATCAAATCAAATGTACAATGGAAGTTCCACATCCATAACACCATAACACCCAGCGATTTGTAAAAGCTGTTATCAGACATGCTCTAGTGCTGCTTTCACACATCATTAAATAATGATAATGGATTTTCTTATGTGAAACAGGAGAATCCAGTTGCAAATGATTGGTGTAGTGCACTGAGAACATTAGCCAAAGCATGTGAAACCAGCTAGGGTGTTGCTTTGAAAAAGAGGTTAGGGGTTCATTTGAAACATTGTTTTGTTTTGCTTTCCTTAAATCAGTATGTTGTAAGGAAATGAAAAACATCAGTGGAAAGGCAACATACCAGAGATCCTGATTACATCCCAAGGCAGAGCAGCAGGAAGGCTGTCCCTACCAGTGGGGTGGATCCCACAGATACATTCTGCAAAGGGTGGTGTTTTCCTGTTGCACAAGGAGCTTCTGCTGGAAGCTCACTGCAGCAGGGCACGGCTCTCTGCCCCAAAGGAAAGCGCTTCCCTTAGCAGCATGAGTTCCTGGGAACCCACTCTGTGTGCACAAAGCTAAGGCGCTGAAGCTCTGGGTACTACCAAGATTCTGAATGATCAAAAGCCTTTAGTTTTTCCTAGGGCAACAGGAAGTCAGACAGTAATAGGGAGGTGAGATTGCACTGATGAGGTTAGGAAGGTCCAAAAACCCAGTTTCCTGTCCACTTGGAGTCCAAACCCACTTTGAGTATGATTTTTCTGGAAGATCATCCCAAAGTAGGTTTAGGAAATTACCCAGCATGGCAAGAGAAAACCTGGAAGGTGGACAACTGCATGGTGATGTGTGGAATTTGGAAGGCGAGGAAGGGCTAGTGGAAGCAGCCAGCCCTAGAGAGTAGGCTTTGAAGACTATTTGAAGAGACTTCTGGGGAGAGGCCATAATTCTGTGGTGGAGTACATGCATATCGAGGTTCCATCCCACAGTAGGGAGCTCAGGTTTGGATCAGCTGTTGGGAAAGACCTTTATCTGCCGGAGGCCCTGGAGAGCTGAGGTCTGCCAAGCCAGAGCAAACACTGTGTTGGATGGGTCAAAGGTCTACTCCTGGACGGCTGCTTTGCTGTGTGCTAAGCAGAAGCTTTTGCCATGTTGACCCGACTGGAGTCTGATGTGTTCAGCAAGCCACAACCTCAACCCTCTTCCAAACCCAGCCACTGTTGTTGCTTTCATACCCTAGACGTCAACAGCCAGATGCTGAAAAAAACAGGATGATTACAGGAAAAGA